CAGTAGAAAAGTTGGCTGGATCCAACCCTGAGGTTCTCTTTGGGAACTCGGTGTCGGGTGCCACTTCTAGACCCTCTCCAAATTGAAGGGAGTATTTGGGCATTCGAGCCATGTGTTTGAAGGCAGCTATCCTCTCATCCCTGGGAGAAGAATGGAGTAATTCATTACAGAGGGGAAGAACTGGGAACTAAGAATCCAGGACTCTCTCTCTCACCTGCTCCCCCATCAGTGAAGCCCGACACATGGAGCGTGTACCCGTCTTCCTCTGCGCTGATGGCATTGGGTGAGAGTGAAAACTCTGTATATTTGGCAAAGGCCGTGTTGTTCTCAAAGTCCTCCAGCTCCACACGTAGCTCGTACTTGTGCTTAAGGGTCAGCAGGTGGATATTTTGCAGTCCTGGGCCGAGAGGTAAATAGGATAGCATTTGTTAAGGTGTGCAGCTCCCTCAAACATCCCATGCGTCCTTCCCCTTGGGAGCTGTGGACTGTCTGATCTACTGTCTGCTGACGGAGCAGAACAGACAAGCATGGGGGATCCTGGCTGCGTCTCCTGGCCCATAACCATTGTAAACACAATCGCACTTAGCGCTGGAATTGTCTGGGCCAGGGAACATGTGTTAGTTGCTTGAGGAAGGAACCCAAACAGATGGTGTTCCAACAGATTCTGGCAAAGAAACATGTCTGAGTCCGGAGCTGGAGGAATGGGAGGGGGAGGCAAGCCAGAGAATGTATGGGAAAAGACAAGGCCCTTGAGCACAGAATTATTGGCCTACTCATGGAGGGAAGGAGGAGGGTTGTACACCCTTTATATTTACCTAGCCAGTATTCGCCATCTGCCCTGCCAAAGCCGAACTTGTAGTCGTTCCAACCCCGAAAGAAACTGACGGTACCATTGAAGCGTTTCTGGAAAATCTGATCATGACAGAAAGGAAGGGAGAGATGGTCTTGTGTGTGGATACCCCGAGGTGCATTTTGGCCAACACCGAGACTGTAAGTCCCCAAATAACCTTAGAGATACACGACAGTCCAGGGCCACCTGCAGGTTTTCATAGGCCCTTGGGCACATTTTGTGCACAAGTCCTTCTACCACAGGCTTTTCTCCCTCAAAGTCATGGTCACTCTGCCCCCTTTTAATTGTGGCTCTCATTTCTCCTCGCCTCTAACTGTGACTATTGCTAGACGGAACACAGCATGACTCTGTTGCAGTCCTTTTAAACCAATCAGAAGGTCTAAAAAGGGTGTGAAAGAGTCGGGT